CTATAAAAAATGAAACAAAATGTTTTATTAAACAATCTCGGCGCATTAATACATGTAAACAATTTTAAAATATGTACTCATTTTAGTCCTATATTTAACTATCGATACTGTACATTACTACACACCTATATTCACTGCAGTACCGCTTAGGAATACAGATATTTGATTCACCTGAAAAAATCGATTCTCGAGTCCATTCAGAATCAAATTGTAAGAATCGATTCTTCTAAAAACGTAACCTAATGATTGATATGAAATATATGTACATACATATTTCATAAAAAAAATTTAGAGCATACATATATGTATTTTTTAAAAATATATAGTAATGTTATATACATATATATGTTCTAAAGTCACAATCAATATATAGATATACCTATGAATATAAAAGAATTGTGTAGGAAACCAAAAGAACCAACACATCAAGCAGTTTGATTGGACCTTCTATTAGTGACAATTAAAACAAAAAATCGTTTTTTGATTCTTACATCAAAGAATCGATTCTGTGGAAAATCGTATACTGAAGAATCGATTCAAATGATCGATCTTTTAACCAAAAGAATCAATTCCTACTTAGAAAGTTAGAAATGTATGCGGCAGACTCCGAAGTGTTTCGTCTCTTTAAAGATCCTCTGTAGTGAAGAGCAGTGAAGAGCTCTTGAGTACGAATGGAATCAATAAATATTAAATTCTAGTTTGTACCGGGCCATCTACACACGATAGAGTATTGTTGGCTACTATTGCAGTGTAATTCAGGATATTGTTTTAAACAATAAATAAGTCTGGCTTCGTCTATACATCTGCACGTGCACGAATGAGTTGTATGAAAAAAGCAATTAATCGCAAAATGACAGAAGAAGGTATTGATTAAATTTTTGTTAATTCACGATAAAACATTTTTACCAAATAGACAATTAGCAATTAGTATCTGTATTAATTACATCACAATAATGTTTACTACATTTGATCATATGTCATCTTCATATTGGAGATTACTTACAGTCGATGTGAATAGTATTCATATAGTGACTGCTTTAAAATAAAATTTTGTATAGTCGGCTTTCCTACAACACGTTAGATTCGTCCCGTGTTGTATCGAAAAGAAATCTAGAAATAATACAAGTCAGGGAAATCCGGTCTGTGCTATGTTGAAAGCATATTCTCGGAGTGTCATGTTAAAAGAAACCTAAAAACGAAATAAATCGAGAGAATGCATTTCGTGTTATAGCGAAACCATGCTCTTCAAATAATCTCTTATATATTAACCTTCAAGTGATGTCCACTGTTTTAATATCACTAGTAATAACGTGACTTCAAATTAACTCCATATCAATAATGATGACTTGATGCTAGATTGACTCCATATTAATAATGATGATTTTATGTCAAATAAACTCCCTATCAATAATGGTAACTTGATGTCAAACTGATCCGTCAATAGTAGTATTACTAGCGATACAGAATCAATTTGACATCAAGTCATCATTAAGTGATATGGAGTCAATTTAACTTTAAGTCACCACTATTGATACAGAGTCAATTTGACTTCGAGTCGTCATTATAGATACATAGTCAATTTGATTTCAAGTCACTATTATTGTAGTAATATAGAGTTAATTTAATATAATATCACTGCTAATTTAAGGTTGCAAGAAATTCTAAAACAATGGAAATCCAAAGTGTATTCAAATTATTTTTAATGATTTCATACAACAAAAACAAACATTGTACATTTTTGTAAAATTAGAAAATATAAATTTCAGAAATGCTGAGGATTTGTCAGATACTATTACAGTTATCATC